CTCAGATTTATGAAACATGCTGCCTCAGTGCTCTGGTCTGTGACAGGACAACTGTCCCTTGTGCCTTGCTTCACAAACAGGGCTGTTTTATAACCAGCTATGACAGCATGGTCTGGTGTTAATAGCCGGACCATAATGCCATTCAGATCCTTGCTAATACTGTGTTAAGCCGTCTGGCTAGATTCACTGAAAATACTCAGGCAATGAAAAATTTTTCAGGCATTCCAGTCCTGCTCCTTTCAGGACTTGACAGCATATCTTGATGGTGTTTTACACTTTCAGACACCTAGTTTCCTGGTAATAACCCAGTAGTAGGTTGACCCCAGGTGCACAATCTTGGATTTGAAGAGCTTGGCTCACTCAAAACACATTTTTCCTGAACAAAATCAAACAGAGATGAGGCTTGTTTGGCTCTCTGTTCATATTATCTCTGGTCCACAGATCAAATAAGCAGAGACAAGGGGTTTATAACTGACCTCTGTTTATAGGTGGTAGCTTTATAACTAAAAACATAAATCAGTGGCAGGTTTGGTCCTCAGCCTGTGCTGTGGTGCAAATATAACTGCAAACCTTTCTTTTTTTTTTTTTTTTATTTTTTTTTTTTTATGTTCATACATAAACATACATAAATATGTTCATACAAACAGCCCCAAACTGTCCTATTTCACCCCACTGGATATTGATCCTGAAGCTCAGCACAGAGGCCCTTGGTCCTTGACGGAGCTGCACTGAGTTATTCCTGCCTTCGTGCTGTGTGCTGCTGTTGCTGACATATTGACCAGACTCTGTGGCCTGGCCATGAACTTGAGTCACCACCTTGCCACTGTCTGGCAGTCACTGGGATGCTGACAGGTCAGGTTACTGTCACCATTCCTGCACTCTGCAGGGAGGTCACAATCCCTGCCTGTGTTGTGATGGCCTTTGGCTTCCAGCTTGTCCTCTCTCATGGAGCACCTGTGTCCTGGCTGCTCTGTGTCAAGCAGAGTGAAATGTCTGATATTCTCTGAGCATGCTTCTGGGAACTGGAGATCTGTGTTCAGATCTCTACTTCTAGACTTACAGGACAAGCTAAGGAATTGCTCCAGAAATCAAAATGCCACTGATTGTAAATTCATTAGGCTGGCAGCTGTGCTCCTACTGCATGTGAAATGGAGATGCAAGGAATTCAAAACAGAATTCAAGACAGGGTCAAACAATAATAGTTAAAAATAAGTACAGGGATTTAGTCGTGGAAGCAATGACTTGCAAATCCTTACATTTTCAAAGTTGGCTAAACCCCTCCTAAAATCACTTCTTATGAATAGAGTTGGTAAATTAGAATATCTCTAGCATGTTCCCCACACCTGTGTATTGCCAGCTTAATAAAGAAAATAATTAATTACGAGGCATACTTAAAAACTTTATTCTTGGCTTTTACTTAATTTTCAAACTCATCTATTGCTATATGAAAGTCATTTGTGGGGCTGTCTGCCAGCCCTCTCTTTGAATTGAGTGAATGTATTTCCTTCTTGAGTCCTAATTTTGTTAGTATTTGAAGCCATCCTACCATTCCCTCATCCCAAGACGAATTCGAGCGGGCAGATTACAAACCTCATTTAACTGTTCAGAATCAGATCATATATCAGAACCTTAATTAAATTAATCCAGAATTTTTTAAAGGAGTGGTTGGCCATACAGATTTCATGCAAGTTCAAGTGGGTTTTGTTCATTTCACTCTTTCTGTAAATCATATGGCATGAAAATTAGCGAGAAAACATAAAGCTGCGTTAAAAACATACCACGTGTCCTTGCCAGTTCAACGATTGTAAATGTATTTCTGTGGGCATCTGGATCTCTTCTTCCTGTGTCAACGTTCTTTTATTTATTTTTCCATTTTTAATTGCTTTTGAGTGCCTTATCACATCCGAGGACATAGTTGGGCATATGCAGGAACATGCACAGACAGTTACTAAATTAATTTTTTAACAACTAAATTTTTAAACAGATGAAATTAGCCCACCCAATAAAAGGGAGTAGCCATGTGCTGAAGACGGTTTTGGGCAGCACAGCAAAAGAAAGGAGCAGGTTTATAACACTGTTGGTTTCTAGTTTAATCCTTAATCCTGCCTATTCTATTTTCCGGGTCAGTGTAGCCCCTGCCCTGTCCTGGGGTGGCGCTGCCACGAGGTGGCGCCGGGAGCCCGGCCCTGTGCGGGCAGGAGCGAGGGGCAGGAAGGGACATCGCTGCGGACACCGGAGAGGTACTGACTGGCTTCGAGGTAGGATTACACCACGCAAAAGAACGCAGGGTTAACGTATAAGATAGTGGTAGTGTGATTTAACGTCACATCAGAGTGATGCCCCTCAGAGCACTGGACTGCTTTCTGAGTACCCTGGAAAGCCCTGTGCCACACAGGGAGTGCAGTTCGAATGCAGCCTAACCAGCAAATCCCCTGTGCTTCAAATACACATTTAGCTTCAAATAAATTTAAAATAAAACTTAATAAGTGCTTTTTTATTGTTTCTTGATTGTTTTTCTGCTTCCTAAGTCAATTTGAATGTGATGGGACTGAAGTAGTAGTTTTGGAGAGTATTTGGTTCAATTTTTAGACAGAACTGGGACCACTTACTGATTTAAGCAATACATGCATTAATTATAAATAAGAACTTGAAACAGTGTTGGTTGAATTCTGAGACCTAGATTTTTAACGTTAAATATTAATAATTCCTGCTTTGCCTCCACCTTTATCTCCTCTTCTTCCTAACAGAGCCAAATTTTTTCTTTATCTACAGTTGTCTTCTCTTACACGGCAAGGTGTTGTGCTACTTTAATAGCACTAGATCTTAAGCTCATCCTGAGCTCTGCTTTATAGAATCCTACAGTTTAAGATTTAACAGTTAGGATGCTTTTTTCCCCACTAAGAATCTTCTTTTTTTGCAGAAAGATCCCATGTTTCTGTCATAGTGTCATAAAAGCAAATTTTACTGAACACAAATATTTACTCATGTAAATGAGATGCTGTAGAACTGAAGTAATTAAAATTACTGTTTCATTTCCATGTGTATTAGGAGCATTATAAAGGCTCCTTACTCATCTGAGATAGCTACCTCACAACATAGCATCTGTCGATTATCAGCTGAGGGTGCTGGTCAACAGCAGCTGAACATGAGCCAGTGTATGCCCCAGTGGCCATTTGTGTTCTAAATACAGTATACAGCTGTCATTCGCCACTGCCTTGTCTGGAAATAATAATCTGTCCTCTGTCCCCACAAACTGAAACTGACCCCCAAATATACATGTTCATCACGTCCAAGTTTTCTGTGTGTGAATTGTACTGAAAACCTAGTTCTAGTTTGTGCTAACAGGTTGTGGTTTTTTTCAAGAAATACTCTTTCATGGTTTTTATATAAGTTTTGCAGCATAAGTCTATAATGTGTAAACATTTCTAATGCAGTCTCTTGCTCAGAAGCATAAACATTTCTGCTAGCAACTTGTAAATACACTTCAATCAGAATGTATGAGTGCTTCTCTTGAAAAACACCTAGAAATTATGACTTCACTGCATAGGGTTATAACATTTTTATTATGATAATCTATGAAAAATTAATTTTTATGTGCAAACTGTTGTTTCACATCACAAATCTTGACAGAACAAAACTTCCCATCTGATTTTTACGTCAATTCCCCAGTCTAGTGAAAACTGCATTAACATATAGCTGGATTTTACGAAGAAATCAACATAGTTCTAAATGCTTAAGATGTTGCAATATTTAAAGTTAAAATGCATAATTTAAATATTTAATCCAAGTAGTATTAAAGGACCACTGTCAAACTCATATGACTAAAATTTCCTAAGTCTTACCAAAAATAATCACAGTCCTTTTTACTTAAGACATATTATTTATCTAGCAGTGAATTCCTTACAATACAAAAAATAATTTACTGATCCTCAAAAACTTTCATTGGATTGTAGCAGCAGCTTACTAACAAGCTCTGTTTCGGGTTATGTGCACGTAAAGCTCACTTGTGAGCTAGAAAATTATCCCCTAGATTTTGGTAAAGGAAAAAGTCCAGGCAATTTTGGTTATGTACATATACTTCATGGAGTTAAGCATGGCTTAACAGGGCATTTTGACAGTGATACAGACATTATAAGATCTTAGCTAATAGAGATACTGAAGAGAGAATTCAACACAAATAATAGAGGATGAAGATTACCTATCCTTTTGAATTTACATGCCCTCTCATAGCAGCTCAGGCTTCACAATACAGTAAAATCTGGCTACAAAGGTTCTAATACTGGATGAAATAAACAAACTTATAGTGGTCTAATACTGAAAGTCAATTCAAAGTCATCTCACTCTCCTAATGAACATTTGCAAAATTTTCACAACTGACATCCATATTGGCAGGCTTTGTGACACAAGAGTTATGTCGGTCTGCCAAATTGCACAGGTGCTCCTACAGCCTTCAAAAAAGCACAGAGCACAATTATTACTATTGTTACATCACAGATGGATAATTTAGATTGATTCAACTACTTTTGGGTAACCTGTGACACCATGGCTTCCTCTGGATAACTAGCATAAGCTGTAGTGCTGTGTATTTCCTCAGCCTGTTTTCAGCTAACTTTTTGTATTTCTTACTCTGGTCAACCGATGCCAAGATAAAAATCTCTCAGTTTTAAGATATAAATCTACCCACTGAACGCTCTTCATGTCATACGTTGATGTACGTGGATTTCTCAGAGAAAAAGAAAAGACTGTGATCTGAATGATAACAGGTCTTTCACGTGCTGCATCTCTGCACGTTTCACCCACTCACAATTTTGCTTCAGCTTGGAGATAGGCACTGCTAACAAGAACTAGGCACATCACAACCAATCAGTATAAATCCTGGTAAAGAATATATTCATATAGTAAAGGCAGGAGTGCAGTGATCTGTGAAATGGAAAAAGCATTACATAAAATATTCACTTTCATCATTTTTAGAAGAGATGCTTATTTTGCAATTGTTTTTCTTTTTTCACCAGAATTTGCACCTATTCAGAGGAGTATCAGCTTCCATTCCCCCATGCCTTAGATAGAGCCCAAACTTTGCGCTCCCATTCTGTTGGCTATGATGTGGGGAAAAAGTTTCTGCAAAAGTGAAAGCCAAACAAGAAAGGCTAAACTGCACTAAAATTTGGGAGAAACATTTGCCCTTTTTCTAGGAACATATATATGTCTATGTACAAAAATAACATCAGGCAGCATTCTTTTACAAAAGTTAAATATATAAAGACTGTTTGAATAATTGCACAAACTAACCATTTCAACAGCTTTTAAATATCACACATTCAATTTTCATAAGCAAGTTACAATCTAGTGTAGCAGTTTTCAATGCATTCAACATTGTTTTGGAACAGACTCAAATGCAACACACTTTACATTTCATAAAAACCATGTGCAGATACAAACACACTTCAGAACGAACAGTAAATAGTTCAAGTTACATTCACTTTGTGGTAACAAGTCAATCAGCTGCTTCATGCAGTACCCTGGAATACGGAAAGGCCATGTTAAAGCCTCCATCCTTCCCTTAACACAGATCATCAACAACCAAGTTACAATACAGTCACACAAAAATACTCTTAAATAAAACCTTTAAGCCTGTCACAGTCCAGTTCTCTCAAACTTCCAGAACAACATACTCTATAAATATTTTTATGAGCTCATCAGAAAAAAAATAAACACATCAAGCAAAGGCTCAATCTACTTTGTACACGCTAGTCTAACACATTAATTCATGAGTTCACAATTCCTAATTCACACACAAACAAGCAAAACAGTTTCCTAGCCTATGGTGAGAGTGCTCCTGCTCGCTCCTCACTCCTGGTGCAGCCATTCATTGCACCACACCAGGAAACATGGAGGCTTCAGCAAGTCCATCTGCTCTTGGATCTGCACCAAAAACTTTTTAGGTAAGCTGATGTATCTCTGACTTCCAGCCTGGAAGTTTGGTCTATAGAATTTCCATGTGCTAGTGTATTCTAAAGAAACTGTGAGACAGGTACTACGCAAAGATAAAGATGGAGGTGATGAGGGGTGCAGTAGACACCACTCCTCTCCCTGTGGCAATGGCTGAGGTGCGGCCCATCTATCTCTTTTCTGCCCACTGAGTCCTGCATAGGTGTTGCTCTTGCTTTGTCCTAATGGTGCTGCTCCCACCACACCCTAGGTCTTAGCAAGTGCTCTGTTAGCAAAACCTGAGCAGGAGTTGAGGAACAATCACAAGCCTAGTACTACATCAACATGGTTTCAGGTATGAATGTAAAACCTCCCATTTTTGCATAAATCCATCTGTCATAATTGTAACAAAAATAAAGTAACATATTTCAATTGCAATACATGTGCAAATGTGCCCTGAAAAAATAGAACAAAAGTAGCTTTGGCTAACGCTACTACCTTACGCAGTTATTATAAAAATACAAATAAAGTAGGTAAAAATAGGGAGAATTTTTGCAGCTCACCTATATCAATTTACCATCCTTTTGCTAATGCATACTGCTTTTGTTTGTATCAACAAGCCATTTCACAAGCCATTTCACATATTTCACAAGCCATTTGGTTTTACAGAAGGTGACAGATCACACAAAACTGTCACTGAGAAGTGATTCTTGAATTTGTAACGTGAAGTGCTATGCTTGCAATGGATCTCATGGCACAGGTAGAAATCTTGTGACAAACTCCAGCCTGGGAGATGTAGTTGGAAGCTAACCGGTAGAGCCTTTCTGCCCCAAATATGTTAAAGTGCCCAGGCAGTACCTTCTCCACAAGTCCTCTGTCCACTAAGTCCATAAGGCGCTGGCAGCTTGCAATGTAGTCACTGATTCTGCTGTAGGGCAGCCAGTCAATCATGGATCCATCGTATACCACATCCCCACTGAACAGAATCTTCCTGTCCTTGTCATGTAGGCAAATACTGCCCCTGGAATGACCAGGCATGTGCATGACAGTGAGCTGTCGATCTCCAAGGCTGATCACATCCCCTGCGAACAGATTTGTTACAGGGAAACACATGAATTTATCCTGTTCATTAAACATCATGAGGAGAACCACCTACCCACACGCAAAGATTTATAAATACTATCATACTATTATAAACACTATTTATAAATAATAAATATCTGCAACAAAGGAAGCAGGCATTTGTTTTCTTGCTGAGTGCCAAAGAGGTGTCTGAAAGATATACTTGAAAAAAAGGTATTTTCCAATGATACTAATAGTTAACACTTGGCTTGGTCTGTATTAATGGAGTCTATTTCCACTCAAAAAATGTGAAAAGCAATGCAATAGAGAAAATAAAACAGGAAACAAACAGAACACATTCAAGGTGAGTTTCCTTTAAAAAAGTTTACAGAGTAAATATTTCACAATTTATTATTATTTTATCCTCACTTAAATCACGTAGAATTGCATTCCTGTTACTCCTGAAAGGCAAAAGGAAAGAACATGAACTGCTGGAGGAGAACCAAGACTAGCCTCCACACATGTTCTTCATCTCATTCAATATGATATAAAAATTGACATTTCTTAACATTAGGTAATTTTTTTTGCCAGTTTAAATGTGAATTCATTTTCATTGCACCAGCCACTGAACTGATACTTTCAGCAGAAAGTCAGTCTCATGTCTCAGTGAACAGATGTTAGAAACTCTGATATCATGTTGATACCAACATGCTTGCTCTTTCACGAGATTACTTCTTTAATAATCTCTCCCTTTTAAAGAAAAAAACCCCTCACATTTCTCTTGATTTACTATAGTTAAGTGTCTCATCAGCTCTTCACTGAATCCTTCAGTTTCACTTTTCCAAGCACCTATGTGAGATGGCCTGATAAAGCCAAGAAAATAAGTTCCCTGCCAAAGGTGTCACCTGTCTGTCAGACATATACCCTTTAACTTGTGCTGCACTGTATTGTACAGTTTAGGTGGCTTGTTGCCAAAAAATTAGTCCTATTACCTATAAGAGACTAGATGGATTCCTCAATCTGCAGTAAGCCATTTCTTTAAATGTTACATCAGTAACAAGCTACTTTTTACAGACGTTTCATATAATTCACATAAAATTCCGTAAATGCATGTATATTCTGTAGGACAAAAACCGTATCCACAGTACATATTTCAAGAAACTGTTAACTGTTAATTGCACTGCTATGTCTTGGCAGCTTATAAATAAGGGTCGCCAAATGGCAGAACTGAATGACTCGGTGACATACTGTTAGAAGCCTGAGGATAAACCTGGGATACAATTAATTCACTTAAATCACTGTTGAGCGATTCTTATTCTAAGGGGGGAAAACCAAACCAAAACCAACTCCCCCAAAACAAAGAAATAAAAAAACAACAACCCCCACCCCACCCCCAAAAACAAACAAACAAAAAAAAAAGAGGAAAAAAAACCCAAACCAACCAAGCAAACACATCCTGATGCCAAACACTTTCAGAACTGCTGGAAACGAGGTTTAACCCACTCCTTCGTCCCTGCTGGCCGCAGGCGGCTTGTAGGTTGACGGGAGTGAAAAAACACTCCGGTTTAACTATTTTATACGAGGAGCCGAGTAAAGCAGGACGCGCAGGGCGGCAGAGACGCCCTTCCAGGGTGGATAAGCAGAGCTGCCGGCCCTCACCTTCCTGTAGGAGGCGGCTGGGCCGCACGGGCGGGACGCGGAACTGCCGCGCGCTCCAGCCGGGCCGCGGCGGCCGCGACACCTCCCGGTCCGACAGCCACGTCACGGCCTCGTAGTTGTCACCGCGCAGCAGAGCGGCCGCCTCGGCGCTGTGCACCGCCACCTCCTCGAAGTGCTGCAGCCCACCCGAGTGGTCGAAGTGGACGTGCGTGGCCACGGCCAGCAGCGGCCGCGGCCCGGCGCCCTCAGCCGGCGCCAGCAGCCCGGAGTCGCGCAGGTAGTCGGGCAGGCTGCGCAACCCCAGCCCCGCGTCGATTACCACGTCCCGCTGCGAGCCCCGCACCAGCCAGATGTTGGCCCGGTTGCCGGACTCGTAGAAGCGCTCCTGGATCCAGAAGATGCCGCCGCCCAGGGGCTTGTGCGCGAACCACTCCAGCGCCGACATGGCCCGCGCGTCGCTCGGCGGCGGCGGAGCGCCCCCCCCGTGCCGGCGGCGGGAGGGGCGGGCAGGGCAGGGAAGGGCCCGGCCCACTGCGGCAGCGGCGGGCGGAGCACGGAGGGTGAGGAGAGGGGGAGCCCTGAGCGGTTGCGGGGGCTTGGCTGCAGCAGGAGGGAGCGATCGGGTTGAATCCTCTGCCCTGCTGGGGCGGTACCCAGAGGAGGCGGCTGAGATTCGAAACGCCCCGGGCCCTTCAGGGACCCCCGACAGGTTGGGGCGGGAGTGGCGGGCGGTCAGGGAGGGGAGAGGGAGCGGGGAAGGGACGGAGAGGAGCCGGGTATCCGCACACTGCGGGGGTTAGTGACCGTCGTGACAAACATCTTCACCCGTTTACCTTTAGGAACGTCAGATTAAAAAAAAAAAACAAAACAAAACAAAAAACAAAAAAACAAAAACAAACAAACAAACAAACAAAAACAACCACAAAACCTTAGTATCTGAAGTCGGTCCTTTCTTCTGTATATGTTCCTCCCTTCCACTGATTGCACCTGCTTCTGAAAAGCAAGGGTCTACGATCCACAAAACACGATCGGGTGTTTCGTTCTGAGGATACCAAGAACCCGTGGGAGTGCTCAGCCTGCTCCCGTCCACTGCCGTCGCTCCAGCCGCCCCGCAGCTGCCAGGAATCCCGATTCCAGAGGCCTTTCCCTCCCCAAGGCTGAGGAGGACCTGCCTTCCCCTGAGTGAGTGCCCGAGAAACTGCATACGTAGGTTTGAAGGAGTTTTAAAAGCTTAAATCTGAAAATCTTCTCATTTATACAGTGAGTGACACACAAACTAACCATAAACATGAAAATGCCCCCAGGTGCTCCATTAGACATCCCTCATGGAAGCCAGAGCACTAGTTGTAACTTTGTCATGTGTAGTGGCTCAGTTGTTCAACTTTACTTTCCCTTTGTGAGAAATATCTCAAATTAATATTTCGTAGACGGCCAAATAAAGTGAAACAAGGAACTTTATTTCCAGCGCGCGCTGGGTGCGGTCAGGTTTGCCTCGTGCCAGGGCCTGAGAGCACACCCGAGATGGGGGAGGGGGGGGGGCAGTTCTTTTAAGGTCTCTCGATTTGCATAGCTGTTCCCTTGTCCCTCCCATGCTCTGCTCTGCTCTCTTTCTTCCCTAAAAGGCAATACAGCCTTTTCTTGAGCCCGATTGGGTCTCTCAGATGGGCTCACACTTCTCTTTTGCAGTCCATTGGTCGTTTTAACCAACCTATTAGATTGTTTCTTTGTCCCGGCCGCGTGCTCCCTTGGCAATGAGTCCTGGCTGGTCTCATTGTCTTACAGGCTTCCCGGTTCGCCTCTACACAGCAACAGTAAGCAACAGTAACATGATCACAACTATTAACAGGTCACAGCTGCAACAGAACTGCAATCATAGGCAACTGCAGAACACCCCTGATCACAAACTCCTTATCATGAGGCAATCATGAAAACCCTGCTTGTAATAAAACCGTTTCATTTATTTCTTACACCTTCATGATTTGTCCAGTCATCTGTCACTATCAATTTATGCTGTCAGTAGATATAAATCTTCTAAGCCAGTATGCCTGAAAAAAAAACAAGTTTGGGTAAGATTTGGAGTTGAAATACTGCTAGTTTTAATTAAACCTTGTTACTTCTCATCAGACTAATGCTCTTTTTCAAGGGAATTTACTGAGAATTAATTTTAAAGCAACATTTTAAAAATAAACCTCTGTATTCACTACATTTAATGTAAAGCATGCCCCTTCTTGGTAACTCAACATCTCTTATTTTGTTGTGTTGTTCTGTTGTTTGTGTCAAAATGAGGATAATACTTAAATTTATTACTAACAGGATAAGAGCCAAAGAGTGAGAAGTAAAACTGTCTTAAAAACACCTTCTCCCCACCCCTACTTCCTTCCATGTTCTCCCTCCTCCCCCACTGCAGGGTAATTGGGGTTACGGTCAGTTGTTTCTGCTGCTGCCCAGAGAGAGGAGTCCTTCCCCTGCTCCCATGGGGTCCCTCCCACAGGAGACAGCCCCTGATGGACCTCTCTGGCATGAGTCCATCCCTCAGGCACCAATTCTTCCCAAACTGCTTGTCCTGTGGGTCACTTCTCCATGGAGTGCAGTCCTTCACAAGTGAGCTGTACCGATGTGGGTCTCCCACAGGAGCCACGAGTCCTACCTGGGAAAAACCTGCTCCAGTGTGGGCTTCCTACTCCACGGGCTGCAGGTCTCTGGCAGGACCCTGCTCCATCTTGGGCCTCCCACGGGGTCACAGCCTCCTTCATGCATCCCCCTGCTCCAGCATGGGCTCCTCCAAGGGCTGCAGGGGGGTCTCTGCACCCCGATGTCCCTCCATGGGCTGCAGGGGCACAGCTGCCCCACCATGGGCTGCCCCACGGGCTGCAGGGCCTCAGCTCCGGCACCTGGAGCACCTCCTGCCCCTCCTTCTGCACTGACCTCGGTGTCTACCTTGTTGTTCCCATGTTCGTACTCCGCTCTTCTCTGGCTGGAATTTTTTCTGCACAACAACCTTCTGTTCTTAAATATGTTATCACAGAGGCATTACTGTTACTCCTGATTGGCTCGGCCTTGGCCAGCAGCAGGAAGTCCATCCTGGAGCCGGCTGGCATTGGCTCCAGGGACAGGGGAAGCTTCTGGAAGCTTTTAACAGAAGCCACCCCTGTAGCCCCCCTACTACCAAAACCCAGCCAGAGAAACCCACTACAGACACCTGGATATATAATTGCTTAAATCTGGGGCTTGGCTATGTCTTTTATCTTTTTGCTTTTCATCCTATTTTCAAAGCATTTTTTTTCTTTTCCTTTTTTTTTTTTTTTTTTTTTTTTTTTTTTTTTTTTTTTTTTTTTTTTTTTTTTTTTTTTTTTTTTTTTTTTTTTTTTTTTTTTTTTTTTTTTTTTTTTTTTTTTTTTTTTTTTACATTCTAGTTAATTACATGCTTAGCCCTAGCTTTTGCTTTGTTTTCTTTCCTAAAAATGATTTATTTAGGTCTCTCTGCTTAGTTGTAGACAGTATTCCATGCTGCAGGAAATATTTAATGTGATTTTGTTTCATCCAAACAGAGCTTATTTCTCTTGAACATCACATGTAGGAAAAATCTGACATCAACCTGTTTCTGACTGGCATGTAATAAAAAGGACATTGCTTCTGTTTGGGAAGAACTAGTTGTGATGATGCAGGTATAGCAGTAGGTCTGGAACAGATCTGTTCATACTAAGCAAGGTGCGGTACAGTGACCGTGTAGTCAGTGATAAACAGCTTGTGGTATTTCTTGGCTGGGTCTAGAACGGATCTCTGTGTGGCCTTGGGCTGTGAGTAGTAGCACACTGCTCCATCCAAGCTTCTGTTGTGTCACACTTCTTGACATCTTCCCCCAGTCTCACATTTTGCTTTACTTGTCAACTCATAGGCCATGCAGTTCATGAGATGAAGGTTGGTGTAACTAGTGTAACCATTGAAAGTGGAGAGATGTAACTGTAAATGTTTTGCAGGCTCTTTTTCTTTTATAGCCTTTGTTAAATATTTTAGTTAGACACAAACTCCTTTTATCAGCAGTTAGCTTACAGTCCTGCTGGAGTCGTTTGATACCTTTTGATTACCTTAAGCCTCTTTGTGTCACTTCTTCAGGACAAAACTAGTTACTAAGATAAAAGACAAAAAGTAATCTAAGAATCAAGAAGTCATGAATGATAAACACAAACTAGCTTTTGGAAAAAAGTTCAGAAGTTGCAGAATGTATTAACATAAAGTTCAGGGTCCTTAAACCTTTATTCCCCCTTTTGTTTCTGGTTCTAATTAAACTCAATACAGTGAAACTAGGGTTTAGAAAAGTTTAAAACTCATAGGTTGGGAGGTAATTTCAGGCACACAGAGGTAGCTGGAAGAAATATGGGAATGAAGCTGATTTTAGGCATGTACTAAATTTATGGTTTATGGAAGATCCTGTGAAAATGGCTTCCTGTTTAAAAATGATCTTTCCTTTTAAAATGATTATGATCTTTGTTAAACATTAATTTTCTAGGTAATATATACATGGATTTGAAACATGTAATGAAAATATGTATGTTTAAAAAATATGTAATATTTAAAAAATATGTAATATTTAAATATTACATATTTAAAAAATATGTAATAATTCACCTCCAGATGGCTGGATCAGGTAGAGGAAGAGGACGTGCTTCATTTACCTTCAACACTGAGGCTATTGGATTTGGTAAAGGTGCAGCTCTACCTGATGTCATCTGTAAACCACCACCACCATTTCCAGTACGTACAGCCAGTACTGTGGAGCACATTTTGTGTCCAGGTAAAGTGTGTTCACACTTGTGTTTAAATAACATGAAATATATGAAAAACCCGGGAGCCCCCGGTGGTCCAGGGGAAAATACGCTGCACTGTCACTGCAGAGACCCGGGTACGATTCCCGGTCGGGGCCCCTCCCCGGGCAGATGGAACTCGTTAGCCCATAAGGCAATCCATCTACGGTCCAAGCTCGCTTGGCCCCGGCAGATGAACCTCAGGATTAAAGGGTGGGCTCAGTTCCGCGCACACTGTGTCTCACCTAAAAAATCCAATGCGCAGGCTGGAAGGTGGAAAGACCTTCCCCGGTTCTTCGTTCGCGAAGAGACTGGCCATTTTATTTATCCATTATATGAAAAACCCAAAGCAGTTAGGCCAGTTTTGAAGTATTTAATAGAAGTCATTATTTTTCTTATTGTTATTTCCTGTCCCTTTGCTAACTGTTGTCATTATTTATATATGTTATTATGTTATACATTTAACTATATTGCTTGCAGGCTGTTAGTGTGTTAAAGTCCTCATCATGATTCGGTTTTCTGGACATTACAGTAGCAGTAACACTGGATACCTAAATTCATCTGAAATTAATTTACACTAGTCTTTGAGGCCGTGAATGGATTTGCTCACTTTAGATCATTGCTATTTATGCAAAGATGAAAGATTGTGTAGAATTGTTGTGTACCTCAGGAGCCAGCATTTGAAAATAACTGAAAGATACTTTGTATAATTAAGGAAGCTTAACTGAGTCTTGGCATTTGGGATGTATTTGAAAATTAAAGAGGAAGAAAGAGCATTTTCTGACTGAGTTTTGCTGTGCAGGGAAGCTTGGACAATTTTGAGGCAGAAAAGTAGTCTTACAATGTTGTAATTTTATATAAGAGAATTTATCAGTTATGTCAGGATTTGATTGAAGTGCATGAAATTTTTTTCAATCTCACGTGTTATGATACAGAACTTGCAAGTTTTACATATGAGTGGTGCTACGCTGAGATTTCTCTGAATAGCTTTCTCACCCAAGGCTTTGACTTACTGAACCAGATGCTGTTTATTCTCTTAGTCCAGCATTACAATTAAGCTGTGTGATTTCATATTACTAAATCATCTGTAACTGTTTCTAATGTGAATGTTGCAGTCTGCTTGACAGCACAGTTCTGTGCCATCTGAATTCTGTATAATCTGCAGTTTCTGAGTTACAGTTAGCCTTGTAGGAGAATTATTAACCCCGGTATATCTAATGTATACCATGGATAAGTTTAAAATGCTTTCTTCCCTCTATGAACAAAGTTTCAGAACCAAGTTCAACTTCTCAGGGCAAATCTAGTGCCATTTAAGAAAATCAGAGTTAACCCAGTTGTATAACTAGGTTCAATAAAAAATTCAAGTGTTAGATTTAATGAGTCATCTATGACCAAAAGTGTGATACAGCTGTTGACTGACACTGAAATTATATGAAGCAGTGAATTGTTACTATTAAATATAGCTGGAAGCAGTAAAATCCTTTCATGGCCCAGCTCTGGGACTTGAGACAGCACTTTTTTCTCTGCAACCTAACACAGGTATTTATTGTGCACCATCTGTCATGTGAGAGAAACAACATCCATTCTGTAATTCAGTCTTTAGCATTCTGGATATTTTTGAAACTGTTTTTGTGTATTTATCTTTCCCAAATTCAAGACTCATAGTTAAAACAAAAAACAGAAACCAAACCAAACCAAATCCCACAAAAAAACCCAAACAAACAACAAAACAAAAACAAACAAACAAAACCGCCAATTACAACACACACAAATAAAATAAACCCCACCAAACAAAGAAACCAAACCAACCAACAATCAAAAAACACCCTTCACAATAACCAACTACCAAAAAAATACAAACCAAAAAAATCCAAGCCTTGATAATTCATTTAAATTCAGTGGACAGAAACTGAATTGTGTGAGGGTCTGTGTGCTACCTGGTTGTATGACAACACTACCTATTCCCATGACAATAGTCATGGAAAAGGTGTCCATGTTACTCAGAAATCATACTTAATGCAGTTAAAACACTATTTTAGAAGAGGTTTAAGTCCAGCACTACTCTGACTAAGGTTAGTGAGAAAAACTGCTTTTAGCTAGTCAGATGACTATGATTGACTATTTCACAGTTTTAACATATTTTTTCTTGATTTCTTGATACATTTTTGCAGAAAGATACAGTGAAGTTATATAAGGTGTAAATTTAGATGTAAACATAGTTACTATGCATGTCAGAATGCAATATAGTATACTTGTGAAGTAGTGTAACACATAGTTGCATTTTTTTATTAGATGTGTTTATTGTAGCTTTTATTAGTGTACCTGTGTATTTGGTGGATATCAGGACCTTATATAAAATAAACGTAATTTGTACAGAGTACAGACAATAAGCCAGTGCCTCTGAAAACAGGAGAAGATGAAGATTATATGTTGGCCTTAAAGCAAGATCTTAGAGAAACTATGAAAAGAATGCCATACTTTTTGACAGTAGAAGAAGAACATCAAGGTTTGTGAGGTTTTTATTTATATCTTTAGTCACTATTCTGGAAAGGTTGATATAGTGAAATGCATGTGTTGAAGATGAGTTTCATACTGATAAAAAATAGCAACTTAAAATAATAGTGAATTTTTCTGCTTTTACACTTATTGAAATCATAGGTGACACCTACAAGTACTATAACTGGAAAGCAACTTCTGTTGAAAAAGAAAAAGGTATCAAACATCTACTTCATTTGGTATACAGTAAGAAACATTTAGACCAACTCCATGCAGTCTTTTCAATTATATGCTAGCCAATACAAGTGAAATAGGCATTTCTACATGTTAAAATACCATAAAATTTGGCATTAGAGCAAAGAAATCCATAGTAAATAATAGTGTTGAAATTCAGCTTTCATTGTGTAAAGACATACTCAAACTAATCAATATCATATTTAATGGGTGAACATTTTAAAAGGTACTCAGCTTTTTTTCCCCCTAAGTCCATTCAGGAAATATTTGTAAGTGTTACTGACAAGTCACTGGAAATATGAAGACTGAGGTGAGGATAAGTGGTTTACTGAGATTTACACCAGAAGCAGAGCTGGATTAGAAGCCAGATCTTGATCTTATTCTACCTGATCTCAGAATTTCTTTTGCTTGCATGTAATTAAATATTAACTGCTATGTTATTGTTTGATAACAATAAATTCTCTTCTATACTTGACATCCAGTCATACATCATTGTATTGTTAAATTCAAACTTCCCAGTCAGAAAACTGAGCTAGTGGGAAAGAAGGAAACTGGAGCAGGAAAACTTAAATGTCTGTTTACCATACTGTGGGGGTATTGTAAATCCAGTCACAAGAGGTTATTACTGCGAGAAGTTCTTTTCATTCATGATTTTTTGCCTGGTTGTATCAGGCCCCTGAGTGCTTATTCTGAATTATATAAATGGCAAGTGCTGTTACAGCTCTATAAAAGTGTTTAAGAAATTCAAAGTGGTTAGACACTGGATAATCTTTTCCTTCCTATCTTGTGCTGATTTTGAATAATGAGAGCTGACTTAAACTCTGAAATGTAAGGTTTAATTTCCACCCCGAAACCATCAGAATGTTTTCTGACTGAGTATTCATGATGTTGATAACATAGAGGTGCATAGTGTAATCCCCTCTGAATTTTTGCTAATTTCTGTTCATGGTGTAGTGGTGAATTCTAGATGGTTTTGAGACTGTGCAATTTTTTTATTAGGCTTTGACTGTAACACTGAATACCACACCTTATTCACTGTCCCTTTGTTCTTGTACTAAAGCCCAGTATAAAATGGAGCAGTGTCCTGCAGTGTGAGCAGTGAATACACTGACAGACTGATGTTATGGTTCACAAAAGGCAGAGTATTTCCCCTGATGTGCACCTGGAACCCAGCAGCCACTGGGATGCAGCTCTACTGCTGCACAAGCACAGACCAGACTGGACCCTGACAGTGCAGCCAGGTAAAACTGATTATGAGGAAAGAACAGATCTGATCCTTATTTCTAGATCCTTTTATGATGAGATAAGAACTCCAAATTACTCTTTTATCACATCTTCTCTTTCATCTTCTGAGTAAACAAATTTCAATCAGTTTGGATTCTCATCTCGCTGGAGGCTTGCTGTGCTCTTGATCTTTGTCAGGCTTGAAGTTTGCTATTTCCGTTAGAGACACAAAACAGGAAACTGCTCTGCCTGAGAGCCAGTCGGTTATTTCCAAGGAGCCTGCTGCTTTATGAGAAAATGTTATCTCTCTTTTCCAGCTTTGCCTCATGTGATCGTTCTTAGTGATCATTTTGAAATCATCTTTGTTTCTGCAACTTTCTTTCTGGGTGAAGAGATCTCTCTCTGTTGCTCTTTTCCTTAGTAGAACTGCCAGCTTTGAATACTGGTTTTTAATACCAAAATGGGAAGTTGCAGGGAAAGTAGATAGACCACTTGATAGACTGAAATAATGCTTTGAATGCTATCATCATCTCACCAAGAGTAAGTTGGTAAGTCGAGGTAACTTTTTGTTAAATCTTCAGTTGTACAAAAATTCTGCATCTGAGGGGTGTGGTATAATTACATCAGTGGTGGTCAGCAGTTTAAAAAGCTTGTTTTCATCTCAGTCATAGTGTGGAGTTCTCTCTGGGACTGCATTATGTGGCAGAAGTGGCCTAGTTTTAAGAAAATTGCATTTATCCCCCAGAATAGACTGTTTTTAACTGATCTTTTCTGTCTGCTTTACAACTGTTTGCTCCACTTTATTTCATCAAAACATCTGATAGAACTAAGAGGAGGGAGGAGAGGGGACTGTAGGCAAGAACTTCATAAATTGGCTTTGCTACAAGAGTGACTGGATTATTTTAAACCCTAAGCACATCTCTGAGCCAAATCGTCCTTGAAAGTGCGAGAAACAAAACATTTTAATTAGTTGGGATATAGCTATCTATCTTATTATTCAGGTAGTAAACAAAAGCTGCATATAATGCTACCTGGTAAATTTTATGTGTTAGTGTCCCATATAGAATAGATTTCCATCATTCATTTCAGTACTCATGTTGAGTGAATAGCAGGCATATTCTATAGAAATTTATTTTCCTCATTAAATTAGCTATTAATCATTCATATTTTTCCTGTAGGTATATCTGCTATGACTGGGTGACTGCCATCTTGGCAGCGGCTTCAAATGAATTCATTAGTTGTGAGAGGTGTGAGTCAGTCAATGATTTTTTGTACTGATGGCAGTATTTCTTCACTAAAGAGCCTTGAGCTGAAATCAAAACTACTGGCCCATGGGAATCTCATGAAGTTTAACAGACCAAGTGCAAGGTGCTGCACCTGGGTTGGGGCACTCCCAGTACCACCACAGGCTGGGGATGAACGGATCAAGAGCAGCCCTGCCAGGGTTTGGAGGTGCTGGTTTGTGAGATGCTGAACATGAGCCATCAGTGTGCACTCACAGCTCAGAAAGCCAAACATGTCCTGGGCTGCATCCAAAGCAGTGTGGGCAGTGGGTCAGGGGAGGTGATTCTGTCCCTCTGTTCTCCTCTGATGAGACCTCACCTGCAGTGCCACATCCAGCTCTTGGGGCCCAGCACAGGAAGGACATGGGTCTGTTGGAGCAAGTCCAGAGGAAGCCACCAAGATGATCAGAGGGATGGAGCAGTTCTCCTATTAGGAAAGGCTGAGAGAATTGGGATTGTTTGGCCTGGAAAAGAGAAGGCTTCAGGGTGACCTTATTGTGGCTTTCCAGTACCTGAAGGGAACTTAGAGGAAAGACGGGGCAAGACTGTTTACAAGAGCACGTAGTGACAGGACAAGGAGAAATGTGTTCAAATTGAAGCAGAGTAGGTTTAGTTTAGATATTAGGGAAAGATTTGTTTCCTGTGAGGGTGGTGGGGCACTGAAAGAGGTTGCCCAGGGAAGCTGGTGGATGCCCCATCTCTGGAAGTGTTCAAGGCCAGGTTGGATGGGGCTCTGGTATAGTTGAAGGTGCCCCTGCCCATGGCACTAGGTGATCTTCAAGGTCCTCTTCCAACCCAAACCATTCTATGATTCTGTGTTAGAAGTGTTTGACTCTAAAGATCAAAGACTGTCTCAGTTACTATTTTTTGTACAATACCCACAGAAATTATCCCTGTTTGAATAACGAGTTATTAGTGCAATCAGATTCGCTAATTTTGCATGAAGTGGATTTTGCAGATGGGCATTCAGTAAGAAAAAAGGGAATTGATTTAAAAATACTAAAGTTCTGATAATGCTTTTGTCATTACAGATTTCACATAAAGGGTTTTTGGGATGCAAAGCTTTTCCATTGCAGAAGTACTGAAAGTCTTGGAAGGTGATGATCAGACTGAGACACAGCCTTCCGAAACCTGGGAATTCTGAATGGTTAACGTAGGGATGTTAAATGTCACTGGCTGGTTTTGTAGCGAAGGTTTGATTGTGAAAATCTTGAAGAGTATAACAGTTAGTGTTACATTTGATGTTTCAACCTATTTGCCTTGATTAAATCTGCATTTCATAATTTCATGCTTTTCAAGGATAAAAGCATAAATTATAATAATTTTGGAGAGCTTTTTTTTTAAGTTCTTGACAACAATAAAGTGTTTAATGGGAGAATAAAAAAATACACTTTATGTTTAGTTACAGGAAAATATCGAGGACTATGTCTGGATTGCCTGTTAATCAACTGAAGTTAATAACTCTTTGTATCCTTCTCTATAGCAGTTGAGAGGTACAGTCAAAAGTACCAGGACAGTGAAAAGGAGCAGAAAACATGGACTCCAGGTAGCATCTGAGGCTAATTTTCTGTTAACCTATGAAATGCTTGCTCTTTTAAGTGTTTGATTCATTATTTTTCAAGCAATAAAAAAGTATGAAAATCCTCACCAAGTCATGCATTTCTTGTTGAGAGTTATTCCTTTGCATGTTTTTGGATCAAGGCAAGTATTGTTTTGTCAGAAAAAAAGAAGGAAAGAATCTGATTTTATTTATTTACTCAGTTGTAACAACTGATTTGCAACAAAAACACAAGCTTCAGCTCTGACTTTAGTTTTCATTTTTCCTGACTCACCACACAGATACTAGTTTTGAACTGGAGCAAACACTGATGTTACTAAAAATAACCCAACCTGATGTCTGTCATAGGTAGTCATACCTGTATAGCTCACTACTGCAAACATAATTACATAATGTAAGTTGAAGGGTCAATGGGCCACTGGAATGGCTGAACTTGTCTCTTTGGGGTAGAGGCCAGTTGTCATTATGTGGGGGAAATGACAGTCCTGAGTCCAGTTCCTTGATTTAAATTACAGCTAGAATTCCCTAAAACTTTTGTGTGCTAAAACATTTTGGCATCCCTGTAAAGAAGATCAAGGAACAACAGGGGCCTGTTCCTTTCTTTCGTGAGTTGCAGGGAGAGGATTACTGCAGTAAATCATCAATTTTCTACATTAGAGCTATTTTCTGTACAGATTGGAGAAGACTCCCAAGAGAGATGAAACAAAAGAAGACAACCAAAAAAGGTATATTATATATTTTTAAGAAGCAAATAATACGCACTAGTTGAGAGATAGAAGACATACTGGAGTTGGTTAGGGGAAAAAATATTATAGAAATGTTAATTAGTCCAAATAATCAAGCCTTTTGGCAATTTTTTTCTAAATAATTTACTGGTCTTCCTGCCTTTTGTGATTTTTACTTTGCTTTTATAGGATGTTTTAACTTATTTGTATAGATTTATCTTCCTTTTCTGACTCATGTATTGATGTACCATATTGCACTGTACATATGAGGTATGTAACAGTGAAAAGTTAAAAAAAAAACCACAACAAAACCACAAGCCTTTTTGTTTTGAAAGCTTGTATCTTAATCAACACTCAGCCTTCTATTCAGTAAGTAACTAGCTGTTCAGATTTCCTTTATATTTTAGGTTTCTCAATTATTTATTATTTGGTTGAGTTTTGTAGGGGTTTTTAAGCCTTTTATATGAGGTTTAATGTGGGTTATTTTCTATTTTCCCCGGTTTTACTTTTTTTGTTTATTTTCAGCTTTATTCTGCAGAATTGTGAACCAGATCCTTCAACAGCAGTTGGAGCTGGTATTGGCTGTTCTTACAGGAAAAAAAATTTTGTTACACAGCATCATTTGTTTTTCAAAGTGTTTTCTAGTGTGCATGATTTATTTTAAGTTCTCTATAAAAGTCTGTTGTTCTGATGATGTGAAATAACACTTGGCCTCCTGTATCTAGCTGTCTATTTATATATAATTGTTTATTTTCTTGTTCTTTTTGTCCAAGTCTCTCCTGTGTCATTTTTCAGTTCAAGGATAAAGTAGAAAAAGAAATGGAAATGTGCAGTAGTGACAATGACTGGCTCAGCTAGAAGCTTTGTTCCTTTTAAGAATGTCATTGAGAAGCATGGTACTAAGGTAGACTGTAAGATTCAACTGAAAATCAAATACTTATTTGCAAAGTTTCTAAAGGTGGGACTAGAATACACCTAATTTTTTTTCCCCCACAAGAGGAAACCACTGGATTTGGTAAGCCCCTGCACAATAGGGAGCTCCCTAAGATCCAATGAAATAATAAATAACTATTATTCCTTGTTTAAAAAATATTATGATGAAGAGAAAATCATTGCTCACTGCGGGATCTCTCATCTTTCTTTAGTGCCAGTTTCTCTATTGGCTCTTAAAAGTACATGTTCTAACATGGCTGTAATGGTGAAGAGATCAGGTGATCATCAGAATTTGATTTGATTAAAAAAACAGCTGCCCTTAAAAGCAAAACCTATGTGTTTTAGGTTTTTTGGGGAATTCTGATGATACAGAGGGCATACAAAAGTTATATGACTCAGGATATTTGTATGTAGCTGATCAGTGACACATCAGCCCTCCTGGTACATATCTTAGTTGTATTTTGAGGACAGCTAACTTAGGTGACACTTGTGGAACAAAGGTGAGTGAGTCAAGAGAATTTGCACAGAAATTCAACCAGGCTTCCTACCATTCCCCATTGTAGCATGCAGGAGTGGTTTGGGGATCCTTGCACAGTTATATGTACAGGGACAGCTTTATTTTTACACATCTCTCCCTTCTTCTTTCTAGTTTCCCTGAATGTTTTAAGCAAAAGATCTGACCCTTTAAGCCTTCTTAGTGACAAAACTTTGGGTAGAATTCCACATCTCTCCCACACTGCCCCTGGGCTATGGAACACAGTATTCTAGATACCAGCGCTGCCTCCCAAAAACAAAACAAAACAAAACAAAACAAACAAAAGGAAAAAAGAAAAAAAAAGAAAAAGAAAAAAAAGGTGCTGACTGGGTTCAGCTGACATTGTAGGCCAGCCATATGCATAAGTATATAGTAATCAGGTACATGCATTTTAGCCCAAGTACTTCAAGAATGTGTATTTGGAAATCAGATTAAATTATATTCCCTTGCACCTCTAAGGTATATTATGTACAGAGCTATTTTGCTTGAAGTTCTACTAAAGATGGGTCAGGATCTCTAATTTTATGATAAGGGCCAAAGATGTTTGGCATTTAAGGACAAATCTTACATGTCTGTTCTATCTGCATTTAATCTAAAAGCCTGTGGGACTTTGTGCAGAGATGGTAATTCTGAATTGCATTCTACACTTTTTTTCTTTAAAAGCCTTCTTTATTCTGGATGTGTTTGCTTTGATGTTGTTCATGTTTTTACAGAGCAGCTTGACTCCCCTCAGCTCTTTGCACTACTTTAGTCACATAATTGTTTCCTAGGCAAAGCACTGAAACAAACTCAATGTTATATATGACAAATGTGTTTGACAAAATACAGTCGTTTGCTCAGCAGTTCTCAGGATTCTGCTTCCTTGAGTATTAGGCTGGTATTTGGGCAACTTTGATATAGGGTGATGCCATTCAGGTAGCTCTTACCTGAGTATATGGAGTGCTATTTTTGACCTTTGCTCCACCATATAATTGATCAGGGAGTAACCTGGTAAAGATTATATTAATGAATCAGGGAACTAGGTGCAAATACACTCTGTGGACTCATTAGATAAGAGCCAGCTATGGTGCAAGAGCCATGTAGCTACAGTAACCATGCCTTCTGCGTTACAGCTAATGAACCGCCGTGAACTGCATTGTATAAATTCGTAACAATGAATTTCTATCTTTTCAAGATGATGAAAAATAACGAGTGAGATTTTGTTCTAGTTTCTTAACATACTGCGAGTAGGTAGGTGACAAGTATTTTGTGAAGCTGGACATCATACTTAAGCCAAACATTTTGTCAACTGCTTGTTAAAACTGAAATTCAGATTGGCTTTCTAGGCATGTCTTACATAAACTGGGCACTTACACCTCTATGAACGATGTAGCTCAAAGTCTAAGGTAATTTTAATGCAGCCAGTATGGAAAGATTTCCCTGGCATATTCAAGATGTAAGCTTGTGGGACCAAGTAAAACAAGATAATTTGTGCTTTCCATATTAAAACAATAATAGTGATGTATTTTATTTCACCAGGTGCAAAAGCAAAAAAGGCAAAAAACTTTGAGCCTAAAAGTAATCTGGATGTGATAAAAAAAATTGAGGTAAGATGTGCATACTCTTTCTAAATTTTACAAGAGAAATTGCTGAAGGAAAATGAAACCTAGTATGTTTTTGGTACAAGTGGAATAACCAGAACACCCTTTATTTTGGCCTTGTCATGTTACTCTAGCAGACAGCTATTCTGCACTGTGATGGCAAAAGGGTTAGAGTAAGGATAGAGCCTGGAGAAATTATTTTCTCTGCTCCTGTTTGTACCTGAACACAACAATCAGTTGCTCTTCACTGGGTAGCGATCCAGCCTAATGCAAACAGCAGAGCTACTGTTGGAGCTTACTGAAGGAGAAACTGGTGCCAGAGCTTTTAAATCTATTGCTGTTTCACCAATCCACTGATGTGAGAACAATTTAGTAAGTTGGGAGGGAAGAAACATACAGAAACTTAGAAAGTGACTTCTGTTTTGCAGAAAATTACTTATCATGTGGGGATGGGAAGCTTAAAGGTGGAACAACTTTGTATTTGTTCTTGTGGTGATCCATCAGTTGTTTGGTGCAGTTATATTATTACAGACAGTATGTGGTATTGCTTTATCAAGTAATGACATGGCCTTTTCCTGTCAACTGTGCTACCAGTGGATGGTAAAGGGAAATCATCATATCAGTCTATAACACAAGCCATGTTTTTTTAATCTTTAAGTGCGATGGCTGATGCTTGACCAAGTCTATATGAAATTCCTGTGCTTCACATCATATTGGTTTAAATGTCAACAAACATTTTCACACCATTGTTATGCTCTTAACTTTGTTATGCTGTTTTGCTCTTAACTGCAGTTCAATATTTTGGTATTATGAATTCCTGTTGCTGTAATATGGGATTACCTTGTAAAGGAGATTGCCTTGTGACAGGAGTTGGAAAAGAAGGATGATGAAGAGGAAAAATCTGAAGATGAGAAAGACAAAACAAAAGACAAAGAAGATGAAGATGATGAAGAAGCAGAAGAACCAGAGGAAAATGATGAAGAGGAACATGAAGAGGTACAATGTCAGTTTTCCTGTTTATACAAAGTCACATCCCATTCATTGAGTAACGTGTTGGCTGGCAGCCAAAGAAATGTCCCTAGCTTCTCTGATGCCGAAGGAGAGTTGTTGTGGGAGGCGTTATTATGTTAATGATCTTTGTTGCACTACATTTTGTTGTAGTTCATTTAATTGGGTGTTTTAGACTTACTATTCACAAAGAGCTCTGAAAAAAAAGATTGTGCACACAGGAATGAGTCCTGCCACAATCAATATGTACAATTAGTCTTTTTCATCACTGAAACAATGATGCCTCTTCTTTCATAGGTATCAGAACTTCATTGCAGTATTTTCCTTTTTCTTTGCCAAGAAAATAAAATCTACTACTGCTTTAAAAGGTGGGGGCTCAAGTGCTGTTTAAAGAATGTTTCTTTTATAAATTGTGTTCTCCACAGATGAAGTGATAGATTTTTTTCTTCAATTGGTTTAGGAAAATGACTACATTTCCTCCTATTTTGACAATGGAGATGACTTTGGTGCTGCCAATGATGACAGTATGGATGAAGCAACATACTAACTGCGGTTGCTAGGTGCTACACTGCTCAAGCATTACACTACTTGAAGTAGAATTCTGGAGGTAGGCTAAATATCAACAGACCTAATGCTTTAGCTCTGTTGGTTTTAAGCAGACTTTCCAAAACCACGTCTGAGTTTAATGGTACTATGATGTAAAAAAAGGATATGAGATCCTTTGTTTTGTTCTTTTGCCAAATGTTTTGCACCTTTTTAAGCTCTTCTGGAATGCCTTCTGATGAAGTAAGCTATATGCCATTGTGTTGCCTCTGCACAGAAGAAGAATGTATGCATTTTACTTGAAATTGTGCCTAAGCATTTGCACTAGTCAGTTCTGTGCCTCAGCAGTGAAATCTTGAAACCAGTAATGAAATTCTTGATGACTTCAGCAAAAGAGATATGGCCTTTATGGACATAAACTGCTTGCATTTGGCAGCTGACTTCTCTGAAAAAACTTATGTAACTTTTGAGTTCAGGTGACTGAAAATAATTGATGACTAAGCACTTTAATATAAACTGACTTGAAAAAAACTTAGAAATATAGACAAACAACAAAGTAATTTGAAAAGCCATTACTGTAGTTAGAAGAATACATTGGCTTTAGTATTTTGGTAAAATGTATTACATTACCTTCATGAACCTACATAAGTCATAATTAAGGAAAATTTGATTTTAAAAGAGTATGTGGCAAAAGTTGGAAAAATTACAGAATCCTGGTTTCACGAATTAATGAAAATTTCAGTCCTTTGCCTCCATTTCTCCACCTGTTAGACTTTCTTACCTCACAGAGCTGTTAAGTGAGAAGGCAGATGATATGTATCTATGTAATTGTTAATGCATTTCTTTACTTCCTACAGAACAAAAAAGACACAGAGAGCAAATCAATAGAAAATAAAACCCCAAAATAAAAGAATGTGGTGCAATATTTTAATGCATGAGGTTTTAATTAGAAAAATAAAGGAAGAATGCTAAGATTAGCAAAACCAGAATGTTTGGAAACATCAATTCTATTTAAGAACAAAAGCTGAAGTGTTGAAAACTTATTACTGAGTTTAAATAGTACAGTAACAGAGCATTCTTTGTGTCACTTTTGATGGTACAAAATATTATTGGTCAGTGTTATTACATTACTATTGATTGTTGTGGGGGGTTGTTTTGTTTTGGGGTTTTTTTTGGTTGGTTGGTTTTTGTTTGTGGTTTTTGTGGGTTTTTGTTTGTTTGTTTGTTTTTTAACATTCTTAAAACATTATGTTTCTGTTAATAAGCACTGTTACTGGCTCTAATGAAAAGTTTTAAACAAAGCCAATTCCTTTTATCAGCAAAGGAAACTATAGTAGTTTTCCTTACATGTCTGGCATGTCTGGCATTCTGAAAAGCAATACTTCACCTCACTGGTGACTGAGAAACAGTTCTGCTTTATTCTGTCACTTCTATATGCAGTAAGAATTTAGTCCTTAAGGTGTAGCTTTTACATATTCTGATAAAATACCTATCATATTTAAAGGAAATCAAACTAAAATGCTATGCAAGTCACACCTCAGAGGTATATCACTTTTATTTTGAAGTGTTTATTGACTACAAATGTTTAATAAAGATTCTACTGCATTGCACAGGAAATACGTTCTTTCAGTTTTCTTTTAAACATCACACGTCAGCAGTTGGGTTGCCTGCTTCTTTGTGTGATATACAAAACAGAGACAGAAGATGTGAGTGAGGCAAACATGCTGAAAATTCACTTTCCCTAACTGTAACTGCTCTTGCTGGCTGTTTGCCCCATGCACAGTGAACAGTGAGACTCCCTGCCTCTGAAACAAGGAATGCAATTACATAGCTTTTGCCAAAGATGGAATTACAAAACTAAAACAGGAAAAGAATTACTGCACAAGTTACAATTTGTTTGCAAGCTGTGGCTTGCCTGAGTGAGTACAATAACTGATCCTGTAGCAGACAGTAATTCTTGAGGACTAATGACCTCCTTCACCCATCATACTGCTAATGGATGAGACAACTGCCTCTCTGCTGCACTGTTGAGAAATACTACACTGGCAAAAATCAGGTCTTTTTGAGACCTTTAAAAGGTAAACTGTAGTCACTGTCCTCCAGAGGGAACTGCACATCTTAGGCTGGACCCTCTATGACTGGTTTAACAATAAGGCCATTGCTTAGGAGCATGCCAAGTTCTGCAAGGACACAGCTCTGTGCTAAAGCACTTCCAAAAAGCAGTAAGATTGTGCTCTTTAAGAGGTGCAACTCTTCTTAGAAGCTGATCTTCTATCACTTAGAATCTATTGCAAGACCATAATGACAATGAATCTGTTCTTTGGTTTTCAGCAAACTTCAGATTTTGACAGGCATCTATTCAAATCCTGTCTTTATAGCATAGAATAACATTGCTTTCCGTGTGTAGTCATATAACCATCTAAGAATTTCACTGATCCCTACCTTAATTTTTCATATCTACTTCTGGGAATTAACAAGTTCTCAGAAACTTATGTGGAAAACTTCCAAGTTTACAAGCCATGAACAGGACAAACCATTAAGGCTGCAGTTATGGTATGCTAGATGTAAATGCTATGTGCAGCTACTGCCAACAAAATGCTTGCTAGCCAAGGATTTTTATTTTAGATCATACATAAAAATTGGCCAAAACAAATACAAGTAGGGGCCTCCTGTACAAAGACATGCACAGTATGTACAGCTAAGATTATATGTACCACTTCCATCACTGTCTAAAATAAAACCTTTATTTTACAAGTATTACTTATGTTTTTCTAAAAGCAAAAGAGCAGAAGTATTTAAAATAAGACTTGCATCCTCACTCAGAAGTGTTTTACAAAGTTGTATTTTCAGGCTTTATAAAAGTTATACAAAGACTGTTTGTGACAATGTAACCCAAAGTATAGCAGATTTAAAACATTTCAATTTTATATTATCCAACAGTGCAATATGCACCTTAAATTAAAACCAACTTCCTGATCAATATGTTGCAATTAATCCAAAAGGTGATTTACAACTCAGTTACTTTATAGTTTCGTTGCTGGTTTTATTTTTAACAAGTCCATTTCTAGAAGACTAACTTTCCAGGTTTTAACTTAAGTCAGATTTAAGTTTCCTACAGAGCAGTTACTTGTTTATTCAGAGCTGATGTGATGATGCATTTCCAGTTGTGTTGTACTTTGGAAAAAACAGTGAAGATCCCTGCATCCTGCAGAAAGCTGTGCTACCCAATCCGTGTAGTTTACCAGGACCAGGAGTCCTACAATCTTGGAAAAAGACCTCCTACATCTTCTGATAAAGTTAACTCTCTAATTAAAAAGTGCTATATGGGTTAATAGCCATCAATTCAGGTTGTGCAGTAAATTAGGCTTCATCACAATAGCTAATTTAATGTGTTTTAATGAATCTGTAAGAAATGGAAGGATAAAGTATTAGAACTGTTGAGATTCATTTCAGGAACAGAATGATGGAGGAAGAAGCAAACTAGTAAATAAGCTTGCAGCAAAAAAGTTGACACATTATATACCAAGTTCCATACCTTATAGAAAACATACGTCTTCACATGCCAAAACTCTCGTCTGGATTAGAGTAAGTCCTTTTAAAGTTTTAATCCCAGAAGCTGTATCACTTTAGCCACCAAAAAGTATTTTGCAATGCAGTTTTTCACACAGCATTACCTAGAATTAGTATCTCAGTGTTTATGTTTGTGTTCCTGGCATATTGTCTTCATGAAAAGAACTATTACTATAAAAGATCTTTCAAAATGAGTATTATGTGAACCATTAAGTTCATGCCTATTTGTATCTCTTGTCTAGTGCAGAGACTATGAGTAGGTTCACTATCTCCACAGCTGCCCTTTTGAACAAAGGGTTTAAGAGCCACAGGTTCACAAACCTAACTGTACACCATTTTCCCTCCAGCTTTGGCCTGCCCTCAATTTCAATATAATACAAGTTAGCCAATTCATGTGCATACACTTGGCATACCAGTGAAGACTACCTGCCCCAAGAATAGATGGGGCCTAAGTCTTTACTCTCAGAACCTGATAAAGCACTTCGAAATAACTCCATAGTAAGGAAACATTCACTTTACCAGATTTTTTAATACTGTATATATATACACCTACATACTTAGTCAAGACACTCAATGGAAAGCTTACAATAATAGTTTAAAGGATACTGATTATTTTTCCACTTCTCTCTTTATAAGTTGTAATCAAGTTAGTTAATCTTGGGTTTTGGTAATAAATAGTATTTTAAGCAAGGCAATGGAATTTTGCTCCACAAGATAAACAACGACAAAAAAAATTACAGGCACCATCTCAGTTTTTATTTATAAGTATTCTGAGTACACAAGTACCTCCTCCTTTCGGTATAAAGAGTCCAGAGTTGTGGGTTTTTGTTTTGTTTTGATTGTTGTTGGTTTGTTTGTTTCCTTCAGGGGAGAAAGAAAGGGGAAAACCAAGGTTGACCATGAAACTCCAAGTGAAATGTTCAAGAACAGAGTAGTTGATAAAATACACTACCATGTAAAGAACAAGTCTGAAGCTCCAACTTGCCTATTCTGCTGCAATTTGCTATCAGGCATTAAACCTCACTGGAAATTTTCTAGGAGATTTCAGGAAAACGTGTTGGATGTTCATGGGCACAAGACTATTAGCATATTCAGAACCCACATGACTGCTGTCTGAAGAATCAGTTGGTAGTGAATTGAGATTGACTGAAGGGGGGAAAACCAAATTGATTACAGCAAGGTGCCACATGTCTGCACTTCTTTCATTCCTACACACAGCTGACCAGATGAGAATGCAGTCCAGTCAGTTTTCAGCAGGATACATAGAAGAATGTGAAGTTTCAGGACGATTCTCTCAACTGGACTGTGTCACACGGAGAAAACAAATTATTCCACTGCCTACATTGAAAAGTACTGAAGAAGGGTTGACCACAGGCACAAGAATTAAAGATTCTGGCTTAAGTATTTGCTACTGCCTCTGTAGAAGTCACTTGTAAAAAAAGAACTTCATAGTGGCAATTAATTATGGAATGATTGAGTTCTAAAAAAAAAAATCTTACTCTATAAGAAAGATAAAAATATGAGAACAGCATTTTGACAACTGTAAACCTGATATTAAAATGTCAAGAGTACTAAGAATTCTGTAAATATTTTCAGATGTTTAAAAGTTAAGATATCCCCATATGACCATTTCTGGGCTGTAAAACGCACAGTGAGACTCCTTGTGTGTTAGTTCAAACTATATTTTTTCACCTCATCATTAATTAAAAAACATATGTCTATCAAAATAGAAAAAAGTGCAAAGCTTCAGAGACGATTTTATAGCTTAATTTGTATCCCAATCTTGCAAACTGCCTGTCTCAGGCATATTCAGAGATTACATGATCCCCAGAAATATCCCTCTGGTGGACCACTACCCATGAGGGCAAGTCATGTATCAGTTCTCGTTTCCACTGCGTTCCAAGTACATTTTGCATTCTGTAGCTTCCCCTTTACCTAACACTATGTTATGTGTCTACCAATAACAGTTACATGGGGTATTCCATTGTTAATGCTGAAAGTCTCCTTGATTATCAACATTCATAACATTCGCTGGATTTATTCTATTTTCTATTTGTTTCTGATGCGATACTGCTGTGACAAACAAATGGGAAGATTCCATTGTAGAATGGTGACTGACATCTGCTTTCACCAGAACTTCGTAATACAGGAGATAAAAAACTGGAGTTACTATGCCAATGATCAACATAATCACTACTGCTGTCCACCATCCTATACCCCAGTCTGCTCCGTAGTAAGGATCCTTGCTTTTTTTAGTTTTACCATCAGTTTCAAAACAGACCTGTTGGGCTGCTAAAGCAGAAACAACTTCATTAAGGTTCTCTCTCTTTGTATCATTACACTTCACTATTTCTTCTATATCTCGATCCACTTCCTTTAAGAAGTTGCCAGCAGTCTCATTAGCAGAGAATTTATCAGAAAGTGATGTCTCCTGCACTTCTGGAGAATAGAGAGCGGGCCGAAAGACTGGTCTTCCTTTTGGAGGGACGTGCGTTTCAGTCAATACACTGAACTTTTTCACTGGAATTTTGATAGACCTCAGGGCAAAGAAATCTTGATCGTTGATAAGATTGTTAACTCTCTTGATATCTGCAACCTAAAAATAGGAACAACAGTTAAAACATTGCAGCCCCATTGAAACGCAACTCTTAATAGTACCATATCCTTTAGAAATACGAGTCTTTCCTATGGAAATAAAGGCAAGACCTTTGTTTTGCTTTACTTTTTTTTTTTTTTTTTTTTAAACAGATACCCATTGAAACAGTATGAAGTAAGAAGAGGTCAAAGACCAAATCTGAACAACATTACAGTGAGAAGGGAATTAATTATGAGGTAACAAACTTTGTCACTTCAGATAAGAACACTGAAAGCCACTTCACACACACACATTTACGCAGTGTATGTTCATCAATCACTTGGCAACTATCTCTGTGAAAGGAATGAGACTTTAACTTTACTCTGTTTTCAAATGATGTAACTTACTGAGTTCCTAATTAAATTGAAAACTTCTGAATTGGGACTATTACAAATTAGTGAGTTTCCAATTCATCTAGCCCTAGCTGTGTTTTTTGTTGCTTCTGAGGGCTAAGACAGAAGCCAAGCATAACTTAAAAATGTCATCTACCCTACCCAAGTCAGCTCTCCCCTTTTGCTATTCTTGCTCCAAATCTCATTTTGCTCTCAATAACTTCAGATTTTTAGTCTAATGTGAAAAGTACTCTGCAGGGTTTTAAGTGCCCTTGGATAATCATTGGCTTTCACTCAGAGACAGGAACTCCCTCACCATAGAAGGCACAACCACAAACCTCACCATAATGAAGTACTTCCAAATCAGAATTTTAAATCAGTTGCAGTTTCTGCAACACCTGCAAAACACACAGGAATCATGCCCATTTTAGGATGCACTGTACCCAATTTCACATCAACTTTAGAACATGAAAAAGTTTTTCAGTTTCTGTGACAAGGTATTTGTTATGTGTCCCATGCTGAATAAATTGGATTAGCATAAAAGACTGCCAAACTCAGCATTTACCCTAGTGGTTAGTGATCCCACCACAACTCAAGTTATACTTTCTGCCTAAAACTCCAGGATTGCTCTTCCACATTCTCCTGAGTTTCCAAGGAAGAGCACAACTCAATTATCTCCTTTTTTATTGAGGCCTGATCTAGTAAACCTGCTCCAAATACTTAATTGCAGTGGGTTCTGAAGCCAAAAACTGAGTAATGAGGCTAAGGTCTGTCATGATTAGGAAATAGTTATGTCAAGACTTCAGTACCTAAGCTTACAACAAGAGGCCCCCAATTCTGTTTCTGCCTTAGGAATTATAAAATAGCAAGAGTTCTGTAAAATATGGATTTTGAATGTGACCTCTTGGCCCCTGCACACTTAGCAGTCAGTCCCACCAAAACACACCACTGATTTCGTGTTAAAACTGGAAACATAAGCCATGACAGATGGCACTGCCTTAATTAGTACTGGCCAGACAAAATGACTGGGTAGGAGGGACATTCAACAGACTAAGGTAAGAACTTAGCTGGAAGCAGTGAGCACCAAGAAGGGCACACAGGGGTGGAACGTTCCCAACGGTACAAGTTCAGGCTTAAAATATTTAGGCAATTTAGCTAAATTGCTCATAATAAGACTACAGATACTACAGATACATACTACAGATACTGCTCATAATAAGACTACAGATTTTCCCCCCTACTTTCATGGAATTAGGGTTTCACACAAACCTTTAAGTGGTACAGCAACAACCCCCCTCATCACCAGCCTAACAGCGAGGATATCACTGAAGTGATGACCTTTGACTGTAACGTGTGGTCTCTCAGGGCGCCGTAAGCAAAGCCATGCACTTGTTTCGTGCACTTTCAGCAGCTTTTGGGGCAAAAGCCCACGGAACAGGAAAGCTGCCGCCACAGTGACACCCTGACGTCATTTTCCACTCCTGAGGCCCGCGGCGTCCCCACGGCCGGGCCCGGGCCCTTACCGAGCAGCAGAACTGCAGCGCGATCGCGTTCAGCGTGTCCCCCTCCCGGATGTCCCTCGTCAGGAGCACAATATCATCTAGCCTGTCCCTGGACGTGCTCCGCCGGACTTTCTCCCTGCCCCGCGGCCGCAGCTCCGACACCTCACCCTCCTCCTCCGGGCACTCGCTCTCGGCGCTCACCACAGGGTACAGGTGACCTCCGGCGGGCGGCTGCGCCACAGCGGGTCCCT